GTACAAATGTATAATGCCTCGTTATCATAAATCAAGCACAGAAATGATTAGTCTATAAAGTGTAAGAAATGGGAAAAGTATCTAAACATCTACTCTTTTAACTAGAAGCTCTTAATTTCACACAACAATAAACACCTAATTCTGTATTTACACGGTTTTGATTTAACACGATTTGACTTTATTCCATTTAGCACGATTCAAAACACCACAAAATAAATAATTTAAAACACACACAGCTGACAAACAGACAAAAACCATTCTTTTATGGATCGTTATGCACATTATATGTATATGTGATTTAATAAAATAAACATAAATCTTGGTTTTTTCACTGATTTTAATAGGTCTTTTACATAAGGAACCAATCACCTATTTTTGCAAATGATCAATGTCTTTTACACGAATTTTTCTGGAAACAATCTATCGTCTAAAAAACAGAATTAGATGTACTTAAAACACCATAAACTTATTTACTATATTGTTATTTCGTGTTCTTCAGTAGGTTTATAAACAATTGATTTCTTTGCTGTATCGTTTCACATACTTTACATTAAATATATGAATCTTACTATAAACTGAACTTATTCTCTTTTTAGTAGACTTGCATTGCCGAGGTATTAGTTTCCTTATCTACAAAATTTTGTCAATATGGGCTGAGCCGTTTTCGAAATCCTTGCGTTCATCCAGATAGATTCTGTTTTGAAATTATTATTACAGTCGTATTTTCTTATAAAACTGATTTAGAGTTGACGGTGCGACTATTTTCAAATGTAGTCCATAGCTTGTTTGGTTGCACTGTAGATTTTGTTTGGAGAAGCCATTGACATGTAATATATTATATAATTTATTATTAATTAGTCTTAGAACGGAAAATTAAATGAAAACCCATCGATAGTAGCGCTAATCAAAAACAGCGTGCTATCGATTCTTTTTCAGCTAGTTTCTAGGGCTACACACATATAATAATTAGACAGAGCTCCCAAGGGAATAAGTTGTCGAAAAATATGTTTTACTGTTCTTTATTAATTACTAATGCTGTCATATTATAATAAACATTAGCTTTGCTAGACTGTTCAGTATTCTAGTGCTTTCATTCTTCTGCGACCCTCAAGTTGTCAACAGTCTTCTACTTAGATTTATGAATATTTAAAATAAAAATCAACAAGGTATCGTTGACACAATTTTGAGGGAGCTTAAACCATCAAGCCTTGCATATAAAACTGAAGTATTCCCTATCATCTGTAGTGGCTCACAGGAAAAATGTATAACAGGTATTAGAAGCTTTGGACCTTGACCAAATCTTTTTGTGCTGTCGTTGCGACAGTGCGCTTAACAAATTCATTCAAATTGCAAGAACATCCTACTAGATCCTACCTAGTACATATGTATGTATGTATGTATGTGGCCTATACTATGAATGACATTGCGAAATTCTCTCAATAAATAACAGCAACATGAAAAGCAAGAACAATGCCAACATCTAGAAGGCGTCAAAACGTAGTCTGGCCGAGAAATGCCTCCCCCTTTAAACATATATGTATTTCGATATGCCAATCAATGACAAGCGTTGAAGAAGCACAAGAAGAAGAAGAAGAAGAGAAGATGAAAAGTAGAGGAGGTGAACAGACGAGACTACGAAACAGCAAATTCAATCAATGACAAAACAACAGCTGTAGGACATTGAATTGAAATAAGAACGATTCTGTGGGTGTGAGAATAGAAACAATAGGGCTAGGAAATAATATTAAAATACATACTTACATATATGTATGTACATACATATGTATGTATGTATATATAATTATGCATTAGGGTATGTACTATAGACGGATAGAAGTCATGAAAAATGTAATCAGAATTGTTATAAGCGAATTTTCAATGGGTGAATGAAATATTGACTGATTGCGGAACAATATCAGACAACAACAAAAACACAAACGGTATCTGTTAAATATATGTATATTAAAGGCTAATTAAATATTCCTCAACAAAACGACTGAAGCCCACACAAACACAGCAGCACGCTCCATCTATATATGTCTGTGTATGCGGCTGCATGTGTGTCTTTTGGCACTTTTAATGGCGTCATTACGTGCGCACATAACGGTAAATGTAACAGACGACACAAATTCAACAACAAGTGCTGAAAAATTTATTTATAATATAAAAAGGAAGCGTACCGCATGAAAAAGTAACAAGCAAAAGAACACCAAAAAAACCAAAAAAAAAAAAAAAGAGAGGAAAGTAAAGGAAAAGGAAAAAGCACAAGGGCACACTCATTGGTCGTTAGTTGTTAGTTGCTGTTACTGTTGTTGTTGTTGTTGTTGCTATTGTAGTTGGCCCACACGCATACATAAATACACGCACGCTTGTGCGTATATACATATACATACATGTGTGTATGTATGTGTGTCGTAATATCCAGTCCGTAACGTGCTGATGACATCACGCAGCCACGACTGGGACACCGAACTCCAACTCCTTTCACGTATCCAAACGCAGAAGTGCCGAACAAAAAACAACAGCCCCCTCTGCCCGACCAACACCATATGTATGCGTGTGTACATAAGTGTGTAAGCACCGCTGCAATTGCCCAGCAACAACTGTGGAAAATGGCCAGTAATGGCGAAAATACAATTTTCTCTGCTTTTTTCTAGTGTTTGTTACTTATATAATGTTTTGGATCTAACCCTAATACCAATAATCGTTTTAAGAAACTGTCATTGCCAGTTGTAACAATTTTCGATAAGCCATTTCAAATTTAAGGCGCACTTCTCTCCAGTGCTCAAAACTCAATCTGGTAAAAAGTGTTGCAAGCGAATTATTTTTATGAAAGTACGGCAGCACTTGTTTTTACAAAACTGGTCTGGCACTTTCTAAACTCATGACTACAATCGATACATTGCAATGTAATTTGCGCTAATCGAAAATTCAAATTTGCATGAAATATAAACAAAATTTATATAGTATATAGATTAGGGAAAACGAAATCCGTTTTTATAGCCTGTACCCAAAGGGTGAAAGGCTATACTAGTTTTGTGCGCATGTATGTAACACACAGAAGGAGGCGTGACAGTCCCCACAGAGTATATATATTATTAATCAGGATGATAAGTCGATATAGCCATGTCCGTCTGTCCGTCCGTCCGTCTGTCTGTATGAGCGCAACGATCTCAGGAAGTACAAGAGCTAAAATAACCAAACTTGGTATCGAGGTTCCCCTAAGCCCTAGGCAGGTCAAGTTTATTTGTTTATTCTGATATACCCCCCACTCCCCCGCAATTCGTGTTTTTGTTTATAAATTCCGTAATTCTTGGAATTTTGAAATCAATTTTGGTAGTTACATCCAGTTAGTGGTTATGTGTCCGTGTGCCAAGTTTCATTATGATAGGTCAGTTCTGAAGAAAGTTATAGCCATAAGTAAAATCGCTGCTCATGCTCTGCTTGCAGCGCTGCCCGCAGCTGTTATTGTTGTTGCTGCTTTGGGTCAACTTTGTGCTACATACATACACGTATATAAACAAGCATAGACACATGATGTAAATGTAAAACTGTACATAAAGATGTCTTCTATGTATGTATTAAATACATTTTTTTAATTAATTTAATAAATTAATTAAATTTTTTTTAAATAATTTTTTTTTTTTTAATATTTTTTTTTTTAATTTTTCTTTTTTGTGGAGAGTACAGGCTATTTTACTGTCGGGCTTGCTCGACTGTAGCGTTCTATCTTGTTTTAAGTCAACTTTAATATTTTATAATTCATAAGAGCACCCTAATTAATGTTTGGAGTTATTTCAAATGTGGAATTATGAAGTTATTCTATAAATGGCAACAAGTGTAACCAAAATTTAAAAAATTAAAAATAGGTAAAATATAAATATTTTTTCCCAATCCAATAAATGTACATATTAGTACATAAATTTTTCTTTATTTATGTTTTCATTTGTAAAAAACTTATTGTTTTACATGAAACGATAATATTTAATATTTTTAAAATACGTATCTTTCAATTTCTTATAATAGGCATACACAATTTTGTTATAGTTTTATCTATTGTTAATACAAGCAGTTGATTTTCAATTTTATTTAAAACTAGCTAGAAAATGAGAAAACAGAAACCAAACAATGCTCCAACTGAATAAAGAAATTTAAATATTTCAAATACTGCTCCCTTTATTAAAGTTTTAAGGAATAGCTCGACAAAAATCTAGATTTATTTATATTTAGTATACTCGCATGTCGCTCTTTTGATATCGACAAATTCATGTTTTAAGTTTTAGAGGTGTTAACATTCAGAACTAATTTTAAACAAAAAATATTCATTGACCAGGCAAAGTAAGAATAATTGAAATTAAAGTTAATTCGCATACATATTAAATTAATCGTAAAACAAAAAGTATTTGACCATAAACGAATGTGAATCTGAAGAACAGAGAAGATATTGTTAATTGTGTACAAATAAATAATGGGTATATATTTAAATTATAATTCTTGTTATAGTGCATGAGCAAAGTTTATTTCTGTTCCAATATGAGTTATACAAATTATTATTGATGTTATTTATTATACTTAATGTAAGGGCAGGCTATTCAGTTTTGGGGAAACGAACTCCAAACAAATAGCTAACTCGCGCTATCCCTCTGAAGCTCTCGCATTTTTTTATTTCTATCCTTCTTTCTCTTTCACAATTTTGCCCTCGCCAAATTTGTTGCCATTAAATAGCGCCTGTAACGATTTCAAATCGCACATTTTACATGCTTCAAGATGAGTCTACAGTTGTCGATTGATTCCTCAGGTAATAATGCGAGGTAATATTTCGACTAAGGTGCAGCTTCTACGAATTTATAATACTTAAAGTTTTTTTTTGTTTGGCAAGGGCCCCACACACAGAAAATAACGTATTTTAATGACTTGAAATGCGATTGGCGCTCTAATAAAATACTTACACATACACACACAGAATTGTACAGACATTGATCGAGATGAAACAAACTGAATTACAAAAAAAATAGTTGTACAATTTATGCGTATATGTATATAAAATTTACAAGTTACTAAAAGAGTAAAAATATACATTATTTAGGCGGCTTTGTTCACACTTTTATCTCTAAAGTAACAATCAAGTTCTAGTAAAACGATTTTTGAAATTTTGATTTACAAAATAGTTTGGCAATTACGATTAAGATGTGTGTGTGGGTAGGTGTGTGTTTGGCTAGCTGGTTGGTTGTGTGTGTGCATGAAACTACCGGCTTACTTTGTGCATATAACTAAAAGGAGATAGCCGAGGCTCAAGAATCAAATTCAAACTCAAAGTGTCATTTACATTGCTTTAGCTAAGTAGAAGAGACCATTTAACATAAGCATAGACTTCAAAGTACACTATGTATATATCAATGTCGGAAGTATATAGAGTAGTAGTAGTAGTAGGCTTTACAATATAGCCGAAAACCTATGAATTTCAACTTAAATGGACTATGTAAATCATGCTAGCTTCACGCCCACCATCATTTTTATTTTCTGATGTTCTTTTTTATAGTTTGCGCTGCTGATGTTGTTGATTTTTCTTTTGTTTTTGTTGGTGATATTGTGGGTATTATGCTCGGATTATTGCAAATACTCTTAGTTACTGATCTTTTGCAATTTTTGCAATACTTTAAGACCCTGTTCCTGATACTCTTGCTTCGACATCCAGAACGCATCCCGATCTTTCGTAACTTCTGCAAGCACAGCACCTCCAATGAATACCATATCTTTGCGACGCGGCGGATCCTCAATGCGTATTTTGAATTTCTGCAAGTGTTGAGAATGTTAAGAAAATATATATAGATAGAACGTTATTAATATTATTTAATATTTGATTCGCCTACCGCTAGCTTTTCTGTGTCATTTTTCAACACGCGCTCCAAATATAATTGCTTAATTTCACGCTCCAGGCGACTGGGTAGACCTGGATACATTGTGGATCCGCCGGATAACACTATATGCTTATAGAGCTCCGGGCGTATATCAATGTCTGCCGCCTGTATTGTATTGAAGGCCAGTTCCGCAATGCCAGCACCTTCAACATTAATTAAATGCGGTTGGAATAGAGCTTCGGGAGCTTCGAAACGTTCCCCACCCACTTTAATAACTCGACCATCCGGTAACTGTAATTGCAACGTATATAATATTTAAATATCTTCGGTTGTGGCACTATTATTTGACTGCCCTACCGTATAGGACTCCACCAGCACCGTCGTTTCCAGCGCCAAACGCTGTTCCATCTCAATGTCGTAACCTATGTAACAAAGCTTTTCTTTCATGATGCGCACCGTTTCGAAATCAGCGGAATGATTGAAGGCATAGCCACGTAGTAAAAGCAACTGTGGAATAATTTTTGTTACCAAAATCGGTTCAATTCTGTCCATAGCCGAACTTACCTTAATCAAATAACGCGTTATGTCGCGACCCGCTATGTCCAGACGTCGCGTTAAATGGGGCAAAGCGTATTCCTCATAAACCGGACATATGTGCGTAACACCGTCACCAGAATCGATGACCACGCCAGAGATGAGACCTTGAGCGTATAGCGTCAGCACAGCCTGTATGGCTATATACGTGGAATCGAAGCCGTATTTCTCGAACATGACCTGTGGGATCATAAATGGGATCGTGTTACAAAATGATTGTCTGCACAAGTTGTGGGACATAGAGAGTACATACCTCAATCATTTTTTCACGATTCTTGATGGGATTCATGGGCGGCTCTGTCAGCAATATTTTTGTGTTTGTAGGATCAATGTCCATTTTCTTTGGCCCGAACGTGTAGTCCCACACATGGCACATATCCTCCCAATTTCTGACTACACCATTCTCCATGGGATAGGACACCTCGAGTAACGAACGGAGCTGTGAAGCCTCATCGCCGACCATAAGATCCTGTAAATGGGCGTGGGCTCAGGTTAGTTCCGATGGCTGTTTCTTAAATAGCTCGGCATTAAGGGCTTTAGTAGTTCTGGTTTTATTAGCAGGATTCAAACGATTCGATTAGATCAACTAGTACGGGACACACACACACACACGCACACAAAAGGAACAAATGAACACAATGTAACGAACACAAGTGGTAACAAGTAACATTTAACGAGTAACAAGTTATTGCAGTAAACTATTGAGCTAGCAAGCTAGTTATTAAGTTAGTTAGTTAGTTAGATAGTTAGATAGAAAGTAGAAACTATCTGTGCAAGGTTGGAACAGCACGCAGCATTTGAAGCAAACAAAATTGGCAAATATCAATGGAATTACAAAATATATAGCAGTTATACCACATTCTTGCACTCTCTCTCTCTCCCTTTCTCTTTGGCGTTATTTTTCATATTTCTGAGCCATTTGCTGTATTTGTGATTTTGAGTTTGATAAAGTTTTTCAAAAATTTCGTTCACTTCTTGTTTGTTGAGTTGTGTACTCTCAGCATTTTTCTTATGATCGAACTTGCATGAGCAATCTTTCTATTTTTACGAACAAGCACCGGACTTGGTTGGTTTGCTTTCAAACAGTTCAGGCTCGAAACAAACCAGACTTTGCAGAATGAGCGTTTGGTCGAACGAGTATAGTGCCGTTATTGCTCGAGTATTGTTTGGGTGTTGCGCGAGCTATACTCGGATATTACTCGAGTATTACGCGGGAAAAAGGAAGGTATTTCTTTTCGCTATTAGTTTTGTTGGCTTCTTTAATTTATGTATGTATAAGCATTTACATACTTGTATACGAAGTTACTATTGAACTAATAGCCGAAAAAACAATAGAAAATGCAAGTGCACCTGCACACGCCTATATCATTGGTCATTTCGGTCATGCGGGCATGTTTGTAAATACAACGTCCGATCATTTCTTGCATCATGCACGCAGGCAAAAAGTTTCGGTCACCGTCGCTCACTTCTGAGTTTTTGCCATTTTCGATTCGAACTGAGTGTTCGTTGAGGGCACGTTCCCAACCAGTCATTGCTTCTCACTATTCATCAGTGTTGCCAATTTGGCTTTTTTTCCGTCAAATCTGGTTGTTTTCGAAATGAGATTGCGGGAAAATATTCGAAATTGCGGGAAGCAGGAATTCTGGATTTTTAAAAATACATTTAGCTATTTTTCCGCTTTTTGTAATTTTGCCAACATTTATGTAAAAATATGGAAACGAAGCAAATTTATCATTATTTTTGATCAATATTTTCGTATGTGTAGTTAATGATGGCAGATTATTGAGTTATTTTTATGCAAAAAGTGATGTACAATTACTAATTATGTATATAATGCCGCTCGTTTATGACAGTAGTGGCACTCGCTTGTGAAAGTAGGCCCTACGTATTGACAAAGAGACTGCTGTGGTTATACTACACATGACATCACTAATTTAAACCATCTTTATCTCAAAAATGCGCTTAATTTGTAAAGGTGGGAATGCCGAAAGAATGCAATAAAAAATGCCCTGATTTTTGGCTCACTTACAAAGAAACACAGACTTTCTATGGGACAAACAAAATTAGTTTTGTAAAGCTACTGAAGAAAGCAGCAGCTCTGTACCTTTTTCTTGCTCAGCATAGAGCAATAGCGCAGATTGACCGCTTTTGAAATGTTCACCAAGATGATGAAAAATGTATTTTCCAAGGTTTTTTAAAAGCATTTCTTGTAAAATAAATTTAGCTTTTTATTACGCTTTTTTGCAATAATTTTTAGCTTTATTTCACTCTCCTTCCCGACAAAAACAGCTTTTTTTCCTTCTAAAAAGTTGGCAGTGCTATTCATATCCAAATGAAATAATCATTGCCGAAAATGTAACACTCGTTGCAGTTCTCTGATTGGCAACCCTGTTTGCTGTTCTGTTAAGTTAACAGTGATCTCGCACAAGCACCTCTCTCGTCTGTTTAGTCTTATTCGGGATTGCATACAAAACTCGTGCGTTTATAATTGTGCCCGGTATTTAATCAGAAATCAATATACGCACGTAATTGCACGACACACACAAAAGTACAAATATACATACATTTTTAAAATAAAGTGAACATAAAAGTTAAGCATGCACTAAAGCGAGAAATAATGAACTAAAAACGCGTTCTACTTGTATAATTCAAATTAAACGTGAGCCGTCGAAACCAGGAAGGCATCACTTGTTTTTCATTTTTTCACGTTGCCATTAAAAACTATGAAATTGAAAAGGAATGTAACAAAGAAAACAGTCGATATGTGACGGACATAGCGCCAAATATGTGGAGTGATCAGATAATTCAAAAATGACTTCAAACAACAGTCCCGTACACTCCGAAGGGTGGTGGAGGAACAGCCACTGTTTAAGGCGGAAACAGTTCTCGGTACCGGCAGTTGATTGTTAATAAATGGCAAGGGTTGGATTAAATTATAAAACTTCGCATCAAACTACAGCAAAAGTAAGCAACAAAAAATATACTTAAACATTGAACATTGCATTCATATTTCGGTACATCTAACATTTAACGGTGGACATAACTAAACGAATCGGTATAACAAATGTTTAACTGCAAATCAAACGCATAGTACAATAAACCAACAACAAAAACTTACAAGACTTGTTTGCATGTGTTTGGTAAAGTAGTATATCATTGAATGAAAATATATTGAACAACGAAATCCATTTGAAATAAATATGCAAAATCTAACCCTTTTTCTCTGAGTGTCAATAGATTTCAATATTTTATATTTCCGGTAATGGCAATGCGCAAAATTCTGAACGTTTTCAAAACAATGACATTTACAATTTTGCGACCTAATTTAGATTTGTATTCGCAAAGAATTGGCAAGAATTGAAAACGGACACAGGATTTGGAACAATTCTATGTACGTTCCTTGTTTAATTATTTCATCAAAAAATATGGGCTTTTGGCACTTTTGGAACACCAACTGCGAGAACTTGAAATTGCACATAAAATTGATTCAAAACTCTATCGTGGGACTCGTTTGTGGAAGCAAATGAAACATGTAGTAGATATATAGATATACATACATATGTATACATATGTATTGCATGTATGTATGTATATACCTACACAGAGAAAGTGCAACAAAGTCGTTCAACAATTAACAATGAGGCTTGTGCATTTATAGTGTGTTTATAGAGTATTTGAAAAAAATTACTTAGTTTGATTGCAAGTTTTCAAAATATTTGATTCGTTTTGTAAAATTCTGTTTATTGGGGTTTTAGGCAATTAAAAAACATTTTAAGTTAAATATTTGTTATGTTAAAACTATAAAAACTTGACTTACATCGACATGTAAATCCTGTAAATATTTGTTTTCAAAAACAATGCAAAAAAAGAAAACAGAAAATTTATAAGAATATTAAAAAAGAAGTGTATTTGATAAAAACGTTTCTGTTTTTGTCTGCATGTATTCTAAGTACACACATATACAAGTATAAGGAAAAACTGTCTAGATATGTCTAGATACATGTATATAGCTATGTATTTGTAGATGTGCTCAGCATGAATGTGTAGATTCGTAAGCAAAGCTAAGAAAAAAAGCTGACTGGCCCATCTAATCTCGATTTTGTTTGAATAACACCTATCTATAGACTCCATTATTGAATCGGGTGTACGCCAACATTTATTTGTAAGCGCCGCCGAAGCGCCGAGGATATAACTCTACTCTTTTGAAGAAACTGTTTTTATCGTCGAGCGATTTGAACTTATGTATGAATCGGAAAGCTCTTCAAAGCAAACATTGTTGGGAAGCGATAAGATTTTGACGTTTCGATGTTAGTCCCCTTTATAATTAAGTTCGAGAGTAACAACTAATAATGGAAACAAGATCTGTAGGTACTGGCCTTTAATATTCTTCGAAAAATACGCCGTAACTTCAAGTGTTGATCTTGAGGCTTCTTTTCTTGTGCGAATGCAAGTGTTTAGGTTTGTAGAAGTGCCAACAAAGATCTGAAATCCTTAGTACCGGATGGAGACATACATACACCATAGATTTGACCAAACACTTCTATTGATATGATTTTAAGACACCCCACACCGGCCACAGTTTTGAATGATATTTCAGCAACTAAACATGAAATGCAAAGATAAATCTGCAAAATTAATTCAAATTTGAGGAGGTTGCGGCTGTGATTGGTTGATGTGGTTAATGGGAATTTGAAGAATATACATAGAAAAAAATAAAATAATTAAAACAAAAACCAATGTTACAGTCGAGTTAACCCGACCGTACCCAATTAAATTTTGTAAGTGCTATGTTTTATGACCGTAATACTGAGATAAATTAGTGTCGCCAACAACTTGTCTTAAAGCTGACCGATTTAAATGCAATTCGAAATGGGGCTTTAGAACCTTCTATCTTCTGCTTCTTACATTTAAATATATAAAGAAAAGTTCTGGATTACCCGATACGGCTAGGTTTTTCTCGATTGTGCAACTTTCAATGACTTCTTTTTATTTGTGGGTGATGATTGCACAAATCAAAATTTTGATTTAATGTACCTCGAAATAACGTGTACATACTTTGGACTTTTTAACTCCTTTTTGACTTTTTATAGCCTGTACCCAAAGGGTGAAAGTCTATACTAGTTTTTTGCGAATGTATGTAACAGGCAGAAAGAGGCGTGGCGGACCCCACAAAGTATATATATTCTGGATCAGGATGACAAGGCGAGTCGATATAGCCATGTCCGTCTGTCCGTCCGTCTGTATGAACGCAAGGATCTCAGAAAGTATAAGAGCTGGAACGGCCAAACTTGGTATTGAGATTTTCCTATTAAATAAATTGTTTTTTATTAATTTAATTAATTAACTCAATTTTTTTTTAAATTATTATTTTTTTAAATTTTCCTTTTTTTGTGGAGAGAACAGGCTATTTTACTGTCGGGCTTGCTCGACTCTAGCTTTCTATCTTGTTCTTCTTTTTTTCATTCAGGCCCAAACAAAGACTATCAGCCGTTTCCGAAATACGGGCTTTCATCCAGACAGGCGGACGGACACTTCAGGTACAGGGTATAAAAACGAAAGAATGAAGTATTTAACAAACTAACTATTGATAAGCTATACGAGTATGTGACGTATGCGGTAAATTCTTGCTAGATATGCTCTAATAATGAATTTGGAGTATGCATATATGTATGTAGGAAATGTGGGCATGTATTAAGTGTTTAATTAGGGTGTGGTAGTTATGTAGGGAACAATAGTTGTGCAGTATACACGTATATCTCTTATAAGTCGCTGCTGACAATATAGTAATGTGTAATGTGGCTAGATGAATATATGGCTATATGTGCTGGTTATATACGTTCGTATATAGTATATGTAGTTATATGTGTACTGTTGCAGTTCGAATGTATGCCTCTTATACCTTGACTTCGATGTCACCAATTTTGTTGACCGCCCGGATTATCGGACGTCCGACCATTGAGGGGAAAATATGCGCGGGAAAATTGCTGCCGGCATAGCCACATTTAACGAACTGCAAAAGGAGAGAATAATATTAGTAATGGCTTAGTTGTATTGATGTGAGTATAAAGGTTTGTATATGCATATGTAGGGGAAAAGGCCTTTTGTACAGCAGTCAGGCAACAACAAACGGAACAAAACAAAGTTTGTAAACAGCTGTACCTTACTTTTTATTGCAGCGCTTCGCAGCGCTCCGCAGCGCTCCGCATGGTACCAGGACAGTTCATCAATTTACTACACATTTTCCATACTCTACCAATTGTTGGTTAACTATCCAAAGGCGCGTAATCACAAAACAAATTGTGAAGGTATGTACATATATATGTATGTGATAAGAGTTAAGGTTGACACTCTTTACAGGGTTGCTGTTGTTGCTGCTGCCGCCGACCAGTCGGGTGTGTGTATGTGTGTGTCTGTGAGTCAGTATTTGAGCATATGTACATACATACATATGTATATAGCTGCTGCTTGCGTGGATGAGTAATACAACACATACAATGAGTTATCGAAACGATCGACGGGATTCTAAAATAAGTGACTAAACGCTGGTGCTCCTGATCTTAATGCGGCGATCTGCCAGGCAATTGGTTGTCATATAGTTAGTTGCATCCACTATAACAACAACAACATCAGCGGCAGCAACATCGATCTCCCACAGCGTCGCCAACAAAACGACAACGGCAACGTCGATGTCAACGCCCCAAGCAAAAACAAAAACCCTGCCTATCCTATAATAAGAAAGCGGTCGTTGGCGGATTGCGGATTGCGGGTTCCGGGTGGTAGTGGCCGTGCACTTAACACAGAAATACGCACGCACACCCGCACATAGGAATGAAAGATAAGGAACAGATACGTACCCCGGTGCCATTATCACAAACAATTACATTGCGACCCCTGCTATCCATTATTCGCTCCAGGAGTTGACGAAGTTGAAGTTCAATGATGATAACGCATAAAATAAAATATACGGAGTTCTTTGAGGTAATAAAACTCACAGTCAGTGAACATTGGATATTGCCGATACCAATTGATACTCTTATTTATGCGCGCCGCTACTTTGCTCGTACTGTCGTAGTTATAACACAACTGTTAAATTAATAATCATCACACTCCAACCGTACCGTACCAACAATCAGACCAACACATGCACTCATACAAACAGTTATACACTATTATGTGTATTTTGTTGTTGGTGTTATTTGCTATGATTATTAACTTTTAAACACAATGTACAGCATTAAATCGATATGTGTTAAATTGATTAATTGCTATAGCAACAATTTAACACCAATTCCTCTTCGATTTTCCATTAGTGTAAAAAAAATATCGGCACTTTTTTGACAACGTCGATGTTTTTATATGAGTAATCGGTTTTTTTCCAATCTCTATTAGGGATGTAAGAAAGAATTTTTTATAAAGAGACATCGATGTAAATCAACATCGATGTTTTCCCGTATTTATATTTGTGTACATTGTTGAAGTTGTTTTAAAATACAAAATTGTAAAATTCAGGGACCGCAAATAATGATTATTTCGTTTTTTTTTGAACGAAAAAATCATTCACTTATAGTAACTTTTGGAAAGCGAGGAATTTACTGACATCCTTTTTAACGATTATCTATGTATTTTCACCATGATTTGTAAATTTTAATTTGTATTCATTCGCTCACAATTTAATGATTAATTTTGAGTTTTACTTTAGAAATTAACCAATAATCATTATTGATGAACAAAAAAATAAAACTTATAAGATAATGATTATTCTTTGAGTTTTATTTTTTTGATCAAAAATAAAACTCAAGCTAAAATTTTGTCTGTTTCATAAGGATTAAGGACAAAATTTATATATATCCTTAATCAGTGAGTCAAGGGGAACATTTTTAATTAATTCATTTTTAATTAACTAAATAATTAATTTATTTATTTTTTATTTATTTATTTATTTATTTATGGGCTAGCTTAAAGTTAAAACTATAAGCTAACAGAGGTTTATAGCCTGGCTACCAGGGCCTTAAGCTAAATTTGTTTGCATTTTAACTATTAATTAAATAATTAATTGTACTATTTAAATTTATATTTACATTATTTACATTTATAGATATGTGTTGACAGATGTTTATATGTAATAGCCTTAAATTTTGTTGTATAGTTTGGTTTTTTTAGGAAGTTTATTATTATTTTTAGGTTTTCTGCTGTAGGATTTGAGAGGATTTGGATGGGGTTATTTTCAGCTAGGTAATTTGTGCGTGCGGCTGTTAATGTAGGACATTGAATGAGTAAGCGTTCAATATTTATCTGGCTGTTTGTTTGGCATAGTGGACAGAATTTGGTGATGTTTTTATTTAAGTAAAATCGACCACATTGGCACTTAAGCAACAATATTTTAAACATAAGTGATTGAACATGTTATTTTACCAGGGACTGTAATCATTATACAATAAATTAATTATTTAGTTAATTAAAAATTAATTAATTAAAAATGTTCGCCTTGAGTCACTGATAAAGGATATATATAAATTTTGTCCTTAATCCTTATGAAACAGACAAAATTTCAGCTTGAGTTTTATTTTTGATCAAAAAAATAAAACTCAAAGAATAATCATTATTTTATAAGTTTTATTTTTTTTTGCCCATCAATAATGATTATTGGTTAATTTTTAAAGTAAAATAACACTTATAATAATTACAGTCCCTGGTAAAATAACATGTTCAATCACTTATGTTTAAAATATTGTTGCTTAAGTGCCAATGTGGTCGATTTTACAATTGGAAGGAGAAAAATATAATATGTATTATTTTTCTTCATCTGCGACAAGTCACAGGCCCAAACATGTACACCTCCCTCCTTCTCCGTGCCTAAATGTGGAAATAAGATATTTCTTTTGAAGCGGATTATTCGGCTTATGTCATTCCCGCTTCATTCCGTCGGGCCCATAGGTATTAAATATGGACTTGTCTGCAAAAATTATGTCGTCCCACCATGAGATTGGCTTCACAACAAGATCCTTGGCAATTTGAAGTCGGCACGTCTTATTTCTTGTGGAAATAAACGGCTTCCTAAAGGTTGTCGACCATTGAAGTCGTATTTCCCCAGCACAGTTTCTGCAGAGTATTTCTTGGCAAGTTCATCCTCTGTTTGTACGGCCAATTCGGGGCTGATAGCATGGGGCTTTCTTTAACTTTTCGTACTATAATGGCTACCCTATTCTCACGTACAATGCTCTGCACTGTACTGCGACTTAGATCTATGAGTTCCGCTATTTTCCGTTTGCTCATGCCTTCTTTATAATACAGGAGCACCAATTAACGACCCAATAAGCGACTCCTACTTAAAATGCTAAAATATTTATATTGAATTGGGGAAAAACGGAAAATTTATGGAAATAAATTAGTGAACCCATTGCCAATTACAATGGAAGAAGAATAACTCCATTTCGCTTAACCATTCGACATTGCTCCCGAACGTACATATGTATGTACATAAGTCACTGCACGAAATAAGCTGTGACCTTTTTTTGGTTGCAATATGATCCATTTCAGATTTGTTGAAAAATAAAGCAATGTTCGAAATTCACTAAACTACAATTCTGCATTTAAAAAATTTTGATTTAACAAAGCGTTTTCTTGTCACGGCGTTTTAAAGATTTGTGTAACGCCTGCACGATATAAGGTGTGACTAACTGTATGTATGTATGTGTGCTTTTATAGGCATTATTAGAAACCCATACACTGTTGACAAAATTCACTTGCATACGCAAACAATGCGACAGAAGTTGGCAACAGTGTATGAAATTCTCATGCCCATGTAGCAGGCAAAATCTAAAAACGGAAAGCGAAGCTACTGCTCGCAAAACAGCAAAAAAAACAAATACATATAAGCATGTATTTGTACATGTATATATGTGCACGCACACATTCAAAGAGCATAAGCAGCACAGATCGACCGTCACTGTTGACTGCCTCTCTCGAAATTCGCTCACAGAGAGCACGAATGCGACAGCTCCCAGTCGGGTTAGCCGAAGTGCGACAGCTCCCATACGGCAAATACCCGAACAGCTATGGGAGCTGTCGCTCACAATTTTGATGGGTCGTTTTCGTTATATGAAATGAAGCATCTATATGTTGCATGGTTAGTGCCTGCACCCAAACGGTAAAATACTATACTAGTTTTGTGCGAGTGTATGTAACATACCGAAGGAGGCGCGATAGGCCCCCAAAAGTTTATACAAGGTGTGCTCCACAGTAAACAGGACTTTTTTGATCTAGCGCCCCCTGGTGGCGCTATCTATATGTCGACTGGTGCGTTAGAATCTGCTATCTTTATCGACTGTCCAGTGAGAATTTCATGACATTTCATCGATTGGAAGTGAAGTTATTGCGTTTTAATTGTCAGTATGCTTGTGTTATCGGTGCGAAAATGAGCTTCGAACAAAGAGCCAACATTAAATTTAATTTTAAAATTGATAAAACTTTTACCGAAACGTTTCAATTGATGGAACAAGTTTATGGCGATGACTGCATATCCCGTAGCAGAGTGCACGAGTGGTTTCAACGTTTTCAAAGTGGTCGATGACGATCAACATGTGGGTCAATCAAAATTAGTGATCACCGAAAATTCCACCGAAACTGTGCGTGAATTCATCAAAAATCAGCCGAAATCATCATTGAAATTGATGGAAATGGAATTGAACATCTCCAAAACATCGATTTTGGACCGAACCGTATTTTGACCGAACATTTGGGCTTACGAAAGGGGTGTGCACGGTTGTTTCGCACAAATTGACTGACGACCAAATATTGCTCATAATCCAACATTCGAAGGACATCATTAAAGAGGTCAAAAAGGACAAAAACTTCCTTTACAATATTGTGACTGGTGACGAAACGTGGTGTTTCCAATATGATCTCGAAACGGAACGCCAGAGTGCTGAATGGAAGGCATCGGACGAGCCGAAACCCAAAAAATCGCCCATGGAGAAGTCTAAAGTGAAGACAATGCTGATTTGTTTTTATGATTCCAAGGGTATTGTCCACAAAGAATTTGTTCCACCCGGCCAAAACGTTAATGCGGTATTCTACCTTGGAGTTTTGAAGCGTATGGTGCGCGGTATTCGACGTGTTCGTCCCGAATATCGCGAAGATGAAAGTTGGCGTTTGTTGCACGATAATGCGCCGTCTCATCGATCGACGCTTGTGACCGATTATTTGACCAAAAATCACATTTTAACCATTAACCACTCGCCGTATTCACCTGATATTGCACCATGCGACTTCTACCTTTTCGGAAAAATGCATTTGCCCATGAAAGGAAAGCGTTATGCAGACGTAGAGAACATTCAAAAGGCTTGCACTGGCATACTGGCGGCCATACCGGCCAACGAGATAAAACACTCGTTCGACATGCTTTTGGATCGTGCAAAAAGCTGTATTGAAGCAGAAGGAGACTATTTTGAATAAAATAAATTGATTTTGCCAAAAAAAAAACCATTTGTTCTGTTTTTTTTTTTTTTAAGTCCTGTTTACTTTGGAACACACCTTGTATGTACACGCACACATTCAAAGAGCATAAGCGGCACAGATCGACCGTCACTGTCGACTGCCTCTCTTCAAATGAAATGAATTCGCTCACAGAGAGCACGAACAGCTATGGGAGCTGTCGCTCACAATTGTGATGGGACGTTTTCGTTCAATGAAATGAAGCATCTATATGTTGTATGGTTAGTGCTTCCAGTTTAAGCTTATGTATTTGTATTTTTCTATAAGTTTAATTTAAATTATTGTAAATAATAACAGTATAATAAAAGTTTTACATTTATAAAGAGGAAACGCTAATCTAATATATAAAATACACATTTCAATAAAAACATCAAAAAAATTAAAATACAAAAATACCTCCTCCGGCAGGCCAGACAAAGAAATGTGCCCGCCCAACAACACATGCAAAGTGTTCGATGTTTAGAGAATTAGCGATGGATTGGCGATGCATCGTAAGCAAAAAAAAAACATAGCAAAACATCGATTCATCGTGCTAAAATTATCGTCGATGCTCGATACATCGATGTTTTTTACATCCCTAGCTTGAGATCAGTTGGCAGGGTCAAGTCGATTGCAATGTTGTATACATTTATCGATGTCAAAGGGCGTGCATGATGTTTTTTTACATCCATAGTCTGAGACTAGTTGGCAGGGTCAAGTCGACTGCAATGTTGTATACATTTATCGATGTGAAAGGGCGTTCATATTTGAATTTGTTTAGCCACAGCGGCAGTCCCCAGTGGCAGCCCTCGCACAGTTAAAACACATCATTGGCAATTATTTTCGATTCATTATTATTCTGTATTTAAATTCATAAAATTGAATATTAAGTTTTTAAAATATAGAGATGTATAAGTAAAAAATGTGTTCCACATAGCATTTTTCTTACATAATTTTAAAGTTGGTTTGCCTTCCCTTCGTTTTGTTCTGTCATCATTTATTTGTATTTATATTTGTATTTTTATAGTAGAAATGTAGCTAAGTTTGGTTTGCTTGACTATCCTTTGCATTGCCGTTATTACAATAATTATAGTGTAATGGTATTTTGGTTCAGAAATGTGATTGTTAGTGAGTTAATTTATATTTGCATAATATAGTCAACGTTAGCAAAGGTTCTCTTAGCAATATTTTTATTTTTCTTTTATGTACGCACAAAGGCTATCCTTTTGAAACAAAAAGCCTAAACAAATATAGCAACAACAAAAGTTATATGTAAACAAATGTCTTGGATAGTTTTGTCAACTATAATCAATTGGTTTTACTTAAATTTTCAATTTAAATTGAATATATATGTATGTATATATATATATATATATTGCAATAGATTTCACACAGTCGACTTTCCATTAGAACTTCTGTGATTTGTTTTGCTCTCTCTCTCCCTCTCTCTCTGTCTCTCTCTACTGCCATCATCTCTTTAAGTTATTCATTATTAATTATCTAATATATATGTCATATACTCGTATGTGTTGTATGTAGTTTTACTTCATTGGTATTCAATTGTGTATATGTAGGTATATGCCGCTTTTTGGGGATATCTTAAATAAAATATTTTATGTTGATTTGTTTATGAGTTCTGCTACCTTAGCCTGCCTCTCATTTTCCTAATTGCTATGCCACATGAATAGTTCATCGGCATTACAACTTCAAAAATGTTAAAATGCTTAACGGTATTATATATAAAATCAGCACATTCTGTTGCTGATTTTGTTATTTTTTTCTTTGGTTTATATAGTAAGAATATGCATGTATGTATATGGTGTGTGTCTGTGTATATATGTATATATAATTTTTTTATCTTTAGAATTGCTTTAAGAGGCGAAATGTCTTACATATGTTTATATATGTATGTACTCCAAATATATACATACATACAGACTATGCATATACTCGTATGTATGTACTTGTATGTAGCAATGCATGCTTGTTACTTCATTATTTTTGATTCCGTTTAGTTCTTTATGGTTGCTCCATATACTCGTATAGGGGTATGGTCTTTATACTTATCAAAATCTAAATGTTTGTGTGTATGTATGTATATAAGTTTGTATGTATATTCCATATAATGTCATGAACTTATTCATGTAGTTAAAGCGGTGGACAAAATATGACGTCGTTTGTTATATGTATGTATAGAGCGCAAACAGACGTTAGACTTGTAATACACATAAATATATTATGTAGAGAAGCACAAAGTGTTTAGTACTATTTATGTTTTCGTGGTTTCTTCATATTTGTAAAAGTATTTGTTACGGAACGCTTAAATTTCAAATTGATTTCCTTGCGATGACTAAACATGTTTCAACATGTTTGTCATTGCTCATGGGTCACAAAGTTGCTGTTGGTGTGTGTTGCCCTTTTACTACTACTTAGAACATTTGTTTAGCAACAAAATAAACTTTTGCTTAATAATTAAATTGTTGATTTCGTTTTATTTATTTTTTTTTTTTCAATATGATTAGCTAACTAAATTGGTTTTTTGTGATACCAGAACTTTAGGTTTCTTGGCTTATTTCTCAAACAGCTCTTTGGATATCCCTATATAATAAATACTCCATAATAATATAATCATAATAAAAAACAATTTTCACGCACACACATATTTTTTGGAATGCAAACAATCTGTGGGCCGGGAAGTCTTCGTACAACATTCTGGCCAAAATGTGAGATGTATTGTAATACATTTTCTTTCTTTCTTTTCTTCTTTATAAAAGCTAGTTCTTCACTAATACTAAGAGTTATTGTTTTATTTCATTTATGTATTCCCATATTAGTATAAGTACGATACGTGCGTAGTACACTAAAAACAAATTTCTTCTATATATTCATATTCTCAATTTATGGGAACTACCATTAGAAATGTTGAAGCAAAGTACAGCATTACGGAGCGGTGCACTAAATGTGTGTGTGTGTGTGTTTGTCTCTATGTGTGTTTGTTAACAAATTAGGTAACAAGATCCATGCGATGTTGCGACAAACGTGATATCTTCAAAGTGAACAAAAATATACATATATATAAATATATATATGTAAATATATATTTATAGTATTATTTAAGGTATTGTACTGTTATGTACACTATAAAGGCATTTAGCTTTTCTTTAACGATTGTGCTCAATCATTGATATACATAATAAAGTGAGAAATATGCTATTATGTGTATATAGTATATATGTGTACTATATATAGCTAAATATATATTTTGATTTGATATTTTAAAAATTTGACTAATTTGTAAACGCGTTTCGCATTGCATGTGAGTGGTGTGCTTCATAATGTTAGATCCAAAGGTAAAATTCTATGAAAATCACAAGTGTCCGATCGAATATATATACATATATATAAATTAACTTCGGTAATGGCTTGAGTGACTAGTTTGTATAAAGTAAAGTTATAAAGTAAAGTTATAAAGTAAAGTTATAAATAAATTCTATTAGAGGAGTTGATGCGCAAATTGTTTGCCTGTTTGACCGAAGCTTGTGCCTGACCAGTGGCAGCATCGTTTTAAAATTAAGTTGAATTCAAATTTCCTAGCAGATGACATACTGATGTTTTTAGGGGCTATTACTATCCGGTAGATTTGATTGATTCTTTCAGACACTTGTCAATTTCATGAATATTTAATTCTATATGCATAAAACAAAGTCGATTACTTATCTATAAGAAAAGCACTCATTCTGACATGGTGCTGAACAATTGAATGCTAATTGAAGCTTGCCTAAAGGTTTTCCTATTTGACTGAATCTTGCTCGTTTATGGAAGTTTAGTGTTATTGTTTGATTCTTAAGTCTAGTACACATCTCGGATGTACCACTAAATAAATGTATTAGACAGCAGACCATCAGAACTATTCCAAAATATGTGATGATGGTCCCGAATGTAGTTGGAGCTTTAAATGTACCATCTCTAATTATTATCCGAGAAGAACGAATTTGAAGGCACATTTTCAACATTATTCATTGCAACACTCTTTTAACAAATCGAAAACACTGCCATAAAACTCATTTTCTTCAGATAAATGACTCGCTGGTCTATTTATCGCGATCATTACATTAGGGACCGACCGTGGTGGTTCATCATATTGTTCTTTATGTTATTGTGGTCCTTAATAACCATTCATTTATAATTTACGCTGGTTTATTTCTTTCCTTTCAGTATTTTTGGCATTATATATATATAGTATTTGTTTTTGTTTAGTCTTAGCATTTTTTTTGTTTGTTTTTTTTTTTTTTTGTAGAACTGGAAAGGATGTGATGACATTAATGGGGATATTGTGTTTGTTTTTTTAAACTGAATACCAGTCTTTGAGTTAATATTATCTTTCTATTATTGCCAACATTCGGGAACTGAGAATATGATTTGAATTGTGAATTTTATGATTTGAAGGGATTATTAGACTATTGCATTATATTCCCTAGGCAGACTGAATTCCGAAATGGTTTATGGTGGTGTTTGCCTACATGAGAAGATTTTCTATTAAATTGCTTTCTTATATTTTCGTTTGAGCTGCGTACAGAGCTTGATTGGAAGGGGGAAGAACTGAACTAAACATTTCTTATCTATTGTTATTGCATATAGAAGAACACGATCCAACACTTAATATGCAATACTCGTTCCTCTTGCACCTAACTACACAAATAAACATTTGTATGTATGTACCTATTTATGTGTGTATGGGTGTGCGTGCCAGACAATTTTCTTATATTTGCGCGCTTTTCCTTTCATGCCTTTTGCCCTCAGAAGGTTCATTTTTTTTTTAATTTAATTTTTTTTTGTTATTAAGAACCGTGTTACAATTAATGCTGATGGTTTGGTTAGCTTATAGATAGATTTGAATTAGATACAAATAACTAAGTCTTTTTATACAAAAATAAAAAAAAATTGTATTCATAACTCCTTACACTTATCGTTCAATTTCGATTGCAACAAATTTTTTCCATCGAAAAATAACAGAGACTTTAATAGTTATGTGTTGTAATTTAATTGTTTTTCATTTAATTTGCTATTTAAATTTAAGGGGGTTGCGTGTGTGGGTGTGTGTGTGGAGGCTTAAATATAAAGCATTTGCTGTTCTGCTGTTATTTCTCTACAAGTATCAACATTTAAAAACATTCTTATTGAAAATGCAATGTTTGTTTATTCATTTTTGTTGTTTTTTGATTTTGTTTGCATATGATACGCAATCGGATTTGCTTGAATTCATCTTTGTAGATATATATATATGTTTGTATATATGTATGTAATAATGTAGCTTAACTGGTAAACCACTTGAGTGGGTTTTGTAAAGAAAACTAATTCGGCAAACTTATGAAACACAGTAAGTTACACGCATACTCGTATGCATTTGTGTATGCGTAAAACGTATTTAAGTAAAATTATGATAAAGCAACAATAACTGTTAATTAGGTAAACAATACACAGACATATCCGTAAGTATCTATATACACAAATGTATATTTATTATGCATAGATATACTCTCTTTTTCATATAAAATATGTATAAGGAACATTTATGGACTATTGCGGCACATATTGCAAATTATTTCAACTCAGTGTTGTTTTCTGGTAAAAAGATTGCACAGTTCGAAGGTTTGCCAGTGTTTTGGCCTTTCAGCCATCATCTATACATATATGTATGTATCCATGCATGTACATCTAGGCATAGAGCTTAAGACTAATTGGATTCTTTACAGTACATACAAAACGTTTGCCTCAACTTAAGGAATGAGTAACGACTACATCGATGATGATGATGATCATGATGATTATTTTGGGTGTGGAAAGTATAGTTTAGCAGGGCGCAACAGGATTATTGGGACTTGATATCGGGAAATGAAATTGGTGTGGGCGCACAAAAGTATGCTACAAATAATTGTAATATCCAACGTATACATGTGTGTAAGTGTTTATGCGTACTTGAGATATGTGAGAAAGAAAGTGGGAGGTGAGACAATCAAAATTTCGTTTGCTTGTTTGTTACTTTTTTGTTTATATATTTATAATTAGCTCTGCTGCTGGTTCTGCGCTGCTTAACGATTTTAAATGTTTCTTGTTTGTTGGTGTTTATGTTAACGCAATTTTCCTTTCGCTTTCCATGCATCATCGAGGCGTGTGGTTGCACATTTTTGGGCTCTTCTTTTAACAATTCTCAATTTTGTTTTTCAGTTAAAACGACAGTTTTGTTCAACTTTGTATATTATATGTATGTTCCTATATAGATTTATATGTACTCATGTATATGTGTGTTTGTATGTACGCAAGCCGCACACGCACTAGCCCACAACTACAACCACATCATTAACGAAGAGGAGGAGAAGAAGGACAACGATGACTCCGTTGACGACGTTGCAACCGCTGCCGTTGTCCGTCGTTAACCATTACAAAACAATGCCGCCGCCCTAGTACAGCAATTGATGGTACTTATCCATGCGCCGCTCCATTGTTGCCCTGACTATGATGCTGATGCTCGTCACTTGGCGTCGGCGGCTGATCGCGACGAGGGGGCATCCGCTCGTTGACCGCATCGAGGCCCTTGGCCTCCGCGAACGAGGTAATCTTGTGATTGGGGGAGAAGCCCTGCATGGCATTCTTCAACGATTGTTTGCCGCCGGAGAGGGCGCCCAGGGGGAGTGCGCCAGTCGGCGTTAAGCCCTTCAGCTGCAGCACCGATTCCGATTCTTCGCGCAGCACGGAGAACACGCGCGCCATTTTGCCGATGGCTCGTATCTTGTTGCGTATGACCTCCTTGCGCAGTGCCGCCTCGTCATCGGAGCAGGGCTCCTCGCTCTCCTCTGTCATCAGCTCGTCGTCGGAGCAGATGTTCAGCACGTTCACCAGCATCTCAGTGACCTTCTCGCCAACGAAGGGCAGCGACCAGGTGAACACGTCCATGAAGTTGGGAAGCCAGTAGGGGTGCGGCGAGCAGTTGAATTGCCTTATGTTCATCACGTTGTTCTCGTACTTGAGTACCGCCGCCTTGTTGTTGTACACATCTAGATAGTTAGGCGCCGAGAAAATTGTGATTAGCGAGGGGAAACCGGTGGTTTGGCTCTTGCGGTACATGCGGTAGCCGGCGTCCTGCGCCTCGTGCGCCCTTATGATCGAAAGCAGATTGTTGTTCTGCAGGAAGTCGCAGCACGCGGCGTAGCTGTAGAAGTACGAACAGCCGCGCACCGAGTTGTGCGTGTAGAAATCCGAGTTCTTCTCGTTGCCAAAGTCCTCCAGCGGATCCGACCACAATAGGTCGCACATGGGGCCAAAGGCGGGCGGCTCCTTGAAACGATCGAGCCGTCGTATATCCTCCAGTTCATGTATCTCCGGCGACAGACCGCCATGCACGCAGAGGAACTGCTGGTTCATGAGAGCCGCCAACGGTAGGCAGTCGAACGCATCCATGCATGCATCGTACACACGTTCCGAGTACTTGATCTTGCACTCCTGCTTGAACGTGAAGTACTCAGTGAGGTGCCGGCACTCGTGGTTGCCACGCAGCAGGAACAGCGTCTGCGGATAGGTGATCTTCAGCGACCACAGATACAAGACGCACTCGATGCTAAAGTAGCCTCGATCCACATAGTCGCCCAGGAAGAGATATTTTGTGGTCGCTGGTGATCCACCGACTTCAAATAGCTTCATGAGATCGTAGAACTGGCCATGAATGTCTCCACACACGGTTACAGGTGCCTCAATATCGATCATGGTCTTTTCCTGACGCAACAGGGCCGCCCCTTCTTGGATGATGCGCAAAGCAGGCGCCTCTTCGATACGACCCTCTAGCACAAAATGCTGCTTCAGTAGGTCGTGATTAGGCTTGCCGGTCCGTGCGTCAAAGACCTCTGCCAGCGTCAACTTGTGGCTGGGCGGAAAGGGAACGCTGTCAACGACACGTTCTTTGGTGTTGGTGGCCACGTGACCATGGCTATGACTTTTGTGCGCACTGTGCGTCGGACTATCGTGGGTAGCACTGGCAGCGGTATTGGAGCTATTATTGCTGCTGTTTGTGGTGGTATTGGCATTGTTGTTGTTGTTGCTGCTGTTGCCGCCTTGTGCGTCTGAGGCATCGCCACCGCCACCGCCACCACCACTGCCTGTGGTGGAATTGCTAATACCACCTGCGCCCCGTTGAGTGGCACTTGTTGCCACTTGGCTGACGCCTGATTGATTATTCGAAGACATGTTTAAAGATGCGCGCTATGATAATAGCTGCAGCTGGAGCTGTAGCTAAAGCTTTCGCTGGGAGTTGTACAAATTGCTACTTGGCCGCTGCTGGATCTAGAACTGGAACTAATGTGAGTGTTGCAGTTGCAGCTGGACCATGTGTGCGCCCTTCTTGGGCTAATTTCCTCCACTGGCACTTTTCACGACGCAGCACACACACACACAGTCACACACCTGCACATGAACGTGTCGGCCAACAACACACCACTTGTCACTGCTGCGGTTAATGCTGTGGACTGCGACTGGTGGCTAAGCGTTAAAAAGCCGCTTTATCGTTGAAAAGCTTTATGCGGTACGTCGTTGTCGCGTTTTTCCACTCAGTTTTTTGTTTTGGAGCACAACAACAAACAATTTCACTTCGTATCGGTATTTGTAAATTTGGTTTCGTCTTAGCTGCTGTTGGCCTGAGGACGTCGACGTCGTAATTTCTCTCTTGCTTCACGGTTTTTTTTCGCTCCTATTCAATGGAATTTTCACCTCCCTTCCTTTATTGATATTCTGGTGCGGCTGCTGCTGGGGCCGTTTCTATTGCCATTTAGTTGAACACTCGTACTTTCGCTGATTCACTTTTCTCCCTTGCACACGCACGCTTGTCCGTTTGCCTGCTTGCTTGCTGGCTCGCTCACACACACACTATGCTCTCTCAAACGTATGAGAATACGACGACGTCGTTCTCTTTGTATCACAAAAGGTTGCCACTACTGCTGCTCTTGCTCTCCACGATGGCACGCACCTAGAAAATCAAGTTTTTATTATTTACGTGCGCAATATTAACGAAAAGCGTAATTCGATTGCAATAATATGTACGTGTTTTGTTTTTAATCATTTCCGTTTTTAGGTAAGCCACATTTTTTGCACAATTCCGGCCAATTTTAGCACAGTTTCTCCGTTTCTTTATTGATATTCTGCTTCTGCTGCTGGGCCGTTGCTGCTTGCCGTTTTTATTGCCATAGAGCTGAATACTCGTTACCTGCGTTGGCTCGCTTCTCTCCTTCTCTTTCACACAAAGACGAAAATTGCTTAGCTTGCTTGCTTGCTGGCTCGCTTACGCAAACTGCTGCAGCGATTTATCGTAGTATGCTCTCTCAGCTAGGGATGAGCAGGAATTGCGCCTGTTACTTTGTCACAAGTATTAGAGCCTATCTAATTAAAGCTTTCCACCAAGTTACCACTACTTATTAAAACAGCGAAACGATAGGATAGCTGAGCATATGCCCAAAGCATTCCATTCCGTTCCTTTTATCAATTTTTGTGACATTTCATGTACCCATGTATTGCATAGGTTGTATGTGTATGTTTAGTTTAGGCCCCCGCAAATAAAAAACATAATTCATCACTCCCACATGATATATTGGGAACAAAAAACTTCGCTTATGTGTCCAATAAAGAAATCACAGTCGCGGGTATTTGTAACAGTCGTCACCGAGACATTGTGTACAAAAGGCACACTATCGCCCCTGGGCAGCTAGTCGATATATCGATACTTTACCAAAACGGTATCGTTCGAATGGAATTATTAAGCCTAATATTCGCACTGCATTACCGATATGGCGCGACATCTTCCTTCACTATAAATTTAAAATTAATGGATTGGCGTTGCTTAATAGCTGTAATAGGCGACAAATATTTAAACGAATTTTTAGAGGAAATAATAAACGTGCGCTCATTTTATTCTCTGGATAGGTACTTGTATATTTTTTTTAATGTTTTTTTTTGTTTTTAATATTAAGTTAATAACATTGATAATTATTTTTATTTTGTTTTCACTTAATGTTAAAATTTCTTGTCTGCTTTTGTCTGCCTTTTTAAATTAATTTGTTGTTCTTTGCTTTGCATACAATTTTCACAACCCGCAATTTTTCACGGGTCTCGGTTAGCCGACACAGCTTGTTGTTTTTGCTGTTTTTTTTTTGCCAGCCAGTGGTAATACTTTTATAAATTTATATATAATAATGCTTTTACTTTTAAATTTTTTAATTTATTTACTTTCTGTTTCATAATAAAATTGAAAATTTTTAAGAGATTTATCTAGATGTGATGTTTTTGTTTTGTTTATAATTGTATTAAATATTAATGTATTAATGTTGAATTGTTTAATATTATTTGTTGTTTTGCTTTAATATAAGTATATAAACTTTTTTGCTTCGACAAAGTTCTTTCAACTTATATTAAATTCATATATATATATATATATGTTTATATATATATATAAATAAATGTTTAAATATATATAAAATATGCGTTTAAATTGATTTATCCAAAAGGTAAAGTTTTAATTCATTTTATTTATAATATATATTCCATTTTTTGTGTATAGTTTTAAAGCGTTCGAGGGCAGGAAGTAGATGTTAAAAAATACATACATGTATCAAAAAATTAAGTAACATATAAATACAATATATAAAAAGTTCTTTAATGGAAATGCTGTAGAATATGCCACGGCCTGAAAATAATTAACAAAAATGGGATAGGGGAAAGGGAGAGGGAAATAACAAAAGGCATAAAAACTTCCCTTTTTTGGTTTTGTTCAAACAAAATGAAAATTTTATTTATAAATTAAAACTTAGCAAATCGTTAACAAATTAATATTAAATGAATTAAGTAGTTGGTGTAAATAAATTTAATTATAGATACTCGTACATTAACTAATTAACAAATAACAGCAACAGTTTCTTCTTTATAAATCTGTAATTGTTAAATTCAAATTTTTATTGTGTGTGTGTGTGAATGTGTGTGAGGCGTTTAAAGTCAATGCAAGTTGAACTGCAATTGGAGTTAAAAGGTTAAGAATCAAACAAAACGATTGGAATTCAAATACATATTATCGTTCATTTGTTGTTTGTCGTTTATGTTTAACAATATATTTTATTTTTATACCGGTGTAGTAGAAAATGTACCGTTAAAAAGTGTTGGACAATGGACATCGAAAAGAGACGAGGCGAGAGCATTACTGCGTGTTCGAGCGGGTGAGCGAGCGAGTGGGTTATTTAGTGAGCCTTGGGCGACAGCGCAGAAAAATTGTTGTGTATATAGTATAAAAAGTATGGGGGGAGGGGGGTTTGTATATTTATTTTGCTTAGTTAATGTTAGGATTTTATATATACTATATATGTATGCATATACGTTGTATATATACACATATTTTTTTTTAGAAGAGCGCGCTAACTTTTTATGTGGGCACGTTAGAGGAAAAAGAATACATATACATGCTCTTTTTTTATGCTATATATATGCTATAAGTATGGGCTTCAATTAAATCCATTTATTAAAAATAATAGTAGCAATTTCTTAATGTCTGTGGTTAATGCTTTTGCTTGACGTTTCTGTTATAAATTTTTCGCTTTGTTCTTTGCTTGAATTGAAATGCATAAACTTTTGTAAATCGTTTGCTTTGGTTGTTGCTTATTTCACTTTAACTATTTTCGGAGAGGGTACAAATTTTAGTTGTGTGAAACGCTTACATTTATATTGATATACGCGTATATGTATAATTTTAAACCTTTTTTTGCTGCTTATGTGGCTTATTGAATGCGTCTCAATTGAATGGCCTCATGATGCAGTCTGTTCAACCGTTAACTTGGCCGCATTGATTGCAACAACTTGGCTGCACTGAACCGCCAGCCCTCTTCTACAGATGCAAATATTGAGCTCTAATGAGCGAGGGCGCGCGCGTGTGTTTGTATGTTTCTATATGTATGTATGTAATTGTTATTACTGCCTAGCAACTTAAATAAATGTTTATTTTTAATTTAGAGGCAAATATTTCCGCATAATTCTGTTTCTTTTGACTCAATCATTTCTGCTTTCCCATTTACTGCTCACATATATCGATTCGCAATTATGTATTTCAAATATATATATAATCTTTTTTATGTATGTGTATATATATATATATTATGTATGTATATTTTTTTATAAAGTACTTCCAATTGCTATAAGTTTGCGATTTGTATTACATTCTTTTAAACTTTGAATTTTCAATGCTCGTTATCGAATCTGAAAAGTTTTCTCGCTTGAGTGGCGCATGCGCACTTGATTTCCTTAGTATACCTATTTCTTCAATATATGTAATAACACTGTTTCCCACTTTTCGTGTTCGCTTTGTGGTTTGTAAACAATATTTGCATTTGTTGCTATAATTTAAACTTAATTGTAAATTCACATAGTTGTTTTTATCATATTTATTATATTTTCCCTTTCTTTAGTTTACTGTTTGTTCATTAATTTGTTATAATATTTATAGTAAAGTTATAATCTTTATTTTAAAGAAAACTTGCACTCGCTTTTATTTGTTGTGTTTTTGTTTTTTTTTTTTTTTATTAATAAATTCATTTAATTTAATTCAATTACTTAATGCTCATAGAAAAAAGTGTAATAAACAATATAAATATACAATATATTTTATATATATATATATAAACATAGGCATAATGAAGTAGAAACAACAACAATTAAATGTATAACTTTAATGTTTGCTTGTGTGTATCTGTGTATATTAATGTATAGTTAACAATAGATACAAAATTTAAACAATTTCCAAGAAACTTAAAAAAGAAAACAACAGATTTGAGGGAAAAATAACTAAAATGTTTTTCACACATTTTCTCACGCATTCACTAACGTTGTTGTTACCGTTGGTTTTTAAATTTGTTTTGTTTCTTTTTTTGTTGTTTATTTTTACAATTTTTAACAAATAACTAAAATTCGATTAAGTATAAAAAAGTTACGCACAACGACGCAGGCGCAAATGTGAGGCAACAACATTCATTTTTTGCGCACTCGTTCGAGATTTGGAGAGGAGTGGGGTGAGTGTGAGAGAGTGAGTGGCGAGTGGTAAGTGACCTTGGGGCCTTGGCGTGCATCTCGGGGAATACCGTTAAACGCCGCTCTTTTTGTCGCTGCGCTGCTGCTGTGGTTGCATAGAACACGTCGTCGCCTGCGTCGCTGCAGCATAAACAATATAATTCATATACATAGTATGTTTTGTTTTGTTTGTTTTTTTTTATTTTTTACTTTTTATATATTCAGCTAATGACTACGACAAAGATGGCACGTATATAAAGACCACATACACAATCACCAGATGAGAGAGTGTGAGGCGACAATGGCGACGACAATATACTATAAACTTTAAGTTTATGCATCATGCGTGTGTCTCTGTGTGTGTATGTTTGTTTGTGTGTGTATGTAATCGTGGGTGTGTGTGTGTGGTTGTTTTTAGTTGTGTGTGTGAGAGAGAAAGAGTAAGATAGAGATTCAGTCATTTTGCTTGTTGTTGTTGTATTAAAATATTGTAGTAAAATATTTTTTTTTTTTTTTTAGTAATTTAGCATTTATAGCTGCTTATTGGTGTTTATTGTTGTTGTTTATCTGCTAAAAAGTCGCCCAGACGCCACACAACGAAAGTAGTAGTAAGATTAGTAGAATTTGTTGTTTTTGGGATTTTTTTTTTAATACAGAGACGAGCTTTTTCTTTATGAAGATTTTACATTTTTGTTTGCAAATAATTTCACTTAAGTTTGGTTTTCTTAGCTGCTGCTGCTTTAACTGTGGCGTGACATTGACGTCAACGTCGACGCCAGGAATTGCTTTGAAGCAGCGCGACCGTTAACTTTGCTTAGCTTTGTTGCTGCCTTTTTTGTTTTTGATATAACGTTGCACAAAATTTTGATATATATGTATAATATATATATATAATTTTTATACTTGTTTAACTGCATTTTATAATTAATTTTACATTTTTTGTTTTTCTCTTGTTTTGTTTTTCTTTTCCTTTTAATACCAATAAGTAAACATTTGCGCTTTGTCTTTATTTTCTTTTTGTTGTTTTGCATTTATTGCGTGCGCACGCATTTCAAACTGTGACGTCTTCTTCTGTTATCTTTAATTGTTTCTGTTTTCTTTTTTTAACTGTACGGCGACGGCAACGCATGTTGTTTGTTGTTGTTGCTGTTGTTATTGCTGATGCTCTGTGTTTTACGTGTAAGTGATGATTTATGTATGCATGCATGTATGCACATTTTGTGTGTGTGTATGTATTGGCGCTTTTGCTTGAAACTAACAGTATATTTGTTTTCCGAGTGTGTTTGTGTTTGTATTTGCTTTCTCCCTCCCACCGTTTACTTAAACTGCCTTAACTGACTTTTTAGCTACTGCTGCTGCTGCTTATCTGCTGCTTATCTGCAGCTCCTCTGACTGCTCTTCTGTTGCTGCTGACTTAGAATTATCCATTGATTGCATTCGCATTTGCATTGGCCGCTGCTGCAGCCGCCGCTGACAGTGATTTCTGACCCTCCTCCGCCGGCGATGGCGTTGCATCCCGACGAGGGGGCATCCGCTCGTTGACCGCATCCAGGCCCTTGGCCTCCGCGAACGAGGTAATCTTGTGATTGGGGGAGAAGCCCTGCATGGCATTCTTCAACGATTGTTTGCCGCCGGAGAGGGCGCCCAGCGGGAGTGCGCCAGTCGGCGTTAAGCCCTTCAGCTGCAGCACCGATTCCGATTCTTCGCGCAGCACGGAGAACACGCGCGCCATTTTGCCGATGGCTCGTATCTTGTTGCGTATGACCTCCTTGCGCAGTGCCGCCTCGTCATCGGAGCAAGGCTCCTCGCTCTCCTCTGTCATCAGCTCGTCGTCGGAGCAGATGTTCAGCACGTTCACCAGCATCTCAGTGACCTTCTCGCCAACGAAGGGCAGCGACCAGGTGAACACGTCCATGAAGTTGGGAAGCCAGTAGGGGTGCGGCGAGCAGTTGAATTGCCTTATGTTCATCACGTTGTTCTCGTACTTGAGCACCGCCGCCTTGTTGTTGTACACATCTAGATAGTTAGGCGCCGAGAAAATTGTGATTAGCGAGGGGAAACCGGTGGTTTGGCTCTTGCGGTACATGCGGTAGCCGGCGTCCTGCGCCTCGTGCGCCCTTATGATCGAAAGCAGATTGTTGTTCTGCAGGAAGTCGCAGCACGCGGCGTAGCTGTAGAAGTACGAACAGCCGCGCACCGAGTTGTGCGTGTAGAAATCCGAGTTCTTCTCGTTGCCAAAGTCCTCCAGCGGATCCGACCACAATAGGTCGCACATGGGGCCAAAGGCGGGCGGCTCCTTGAAACGATCGAGCCGTCGTATATCCTCCAGTTCATGTATCTCCGGCGACAGACCGCCATGCACGCAGAGGAACTGCTGGTTCATGAGAGCCGCCAACGGTAGGCAGTCGAACGCATCCATGCATGCATCGTACACACGTTCCGAGTACTTGATCTTGCACTCCTGCTTGAACGTGAAGTACTCAGTGAGGTGCCGGCACTCGTGGTTGCCACGCAGCAGGAACAGCGTCTGCGGATAGGTGATCTTCAGCGACCACAGATACAGGACGCACTCGATGCTAAAGTAGCCTCGATCCACATAGTCGCCCAGGAAGAGATATTTTGTAGTGGCCGGCGAGCCTCCAATCTCGAAGAGTTTCATAAGATCGTAGAACTGGCCATGAATGTCTCCGCACACAGTCACAGGTGCCTCAATATCGATCATGGTCTTTTCCTGACGCAACAGTGTAGCTCCTTCCTGGATGATCCGCAACGCGGCTGCCTCTTCGATGCGACCCTCAAGTATGAAGTGCTGCTTAAGTACATCATGGTGTGGCTTTCCAGTGCGTGCATCGAATACATCGGCACATGTCAATTTGCGACTGGGTGGAAACGGCACGCTGTCGATCACACGCTCCTTTGTGGATATTGTGCTCCGTTTTGTGGGGCTCTGTTGCGCTGCCCCACCGCCACCAGATGCTGTGGTTGCTGCTGCTTGTGTGGCCGCTGAGCCAGCACCACTAGATGCCGTCCCCGTCGTCCCTGTGGCATTCTTGTCGTGTGTGTTATTGGTGGTGCCACCGGTGGCGTTTGCCTTTTGATTTTGTTGCTGTTGTTGCTGCGTCGACGCTCCAGAGGATTGCGACTGGCTATTGTTACTCTGTGCTATTGGCGAAGACATTATTTATATATGAAGATGACTGCTGCCTTGCCAAGTCAAGTCGTCAATGCCTCTGTGCCACACTCACACTCACGCACGCACGCACGCACACGCACGACTGGCGGGCGAGGACGTTGGTCAGACACACTTTCACTGGTGGAAGCTGCACAGGGTATTAATCCTTGGAAACTTTTGTTGTTGTTGATGTTATCGTTGCTTTTGCTGTTGTTATTATTGTAGTTTATTCCTTGTCATCAACGTCCTTGGCGGCGTCCTCACTGTGCGTTGCTTACTCTTGAATCTGAATGTGCCGACAGTTTGTGTTCGTGGCCTGCAATGATAGAAACAAATACGATTAGCACTACATATATGTGATTATATAAATATAAGCAAACGTTACATGTGTAATGCTGTTCTTGTTTTTATTATTATTATTACACATGTGTGTACATATTTAAATAGTAGTGCATGTCTTGTGAAAGTGTGCAGCCGTAAAAGTTTACAGCATATATTCATATGTGAAATATATATTTATATACACACACACAACATAATAATGTATACAATATTCATGTATGTATATTACTTGAATAGTTTGCAATAGTTGGCAGCAGTTTTGAAAAGTTTTGTGTCTCATCATATAATAAATGAATGTGATATATTTTTAAATAACGGCCAAATTGACTTGGCGAGTTTGAAGTGATCATGGGTTATCGAATAACAAAGTAATTTATCGATGCGATTTCCATAAGTTCATAATTCATCAAAATGGGCAGCACTGGTCGTGCTCTCAGCGAAATAACGGCAAATGGGTTGCTATGTTTACAATATTTTCATTTGTCGCGACGAGCGCCGCATTCATTCAATTAATTAGTAACACATTTTTGCAAAACAAATTAAAACAAAGTACGCAGTTGTTGTCTCTTTGTTGCCCAATGCATGCAAATTCAAATGCACCCCATGCACACTATTGTACATACATACATGTATATGTATATGTATATAAATGCAGTATATGCCGCGTACTTGTAAGGTAGTGCAAACAATCAACGGCATATGAATTAAATATAAGGTAACACCGTGCGATTTCTGAACAACTTTCGCAATTCCTGTGTATGTATATATTTTCGCAAGCTAACAAGTGCCTCAAATAAAACACGCACGCACGCCGGACGCACGCACGCAGGCTACCTCCCCCTTTTTACCTATTTCGCCACAACTTTTCAGTATTTAATTGTACAATATTTAATTGCAGATTCAAGACAGCTGTGTAGCCTCCCAGACAGATTGAACTTTTTTAATACCACATACATATGTATGAATATCGTAAAAATAAATATATATATACACAAGTACATAGAGAAGCATATACCCGTACATATGCATATATGTACTTCTTAGATGCAGGCAGCAACGCAAAAAAAACCAGGATATCAACCAACCTACCGGGCCGCCAGACCACACCAACCCAGCACTATCCATCGCCCACTTAATTGTTGATAACTGGGTCGCTCCTCGGTTGCCTGTTGCGGTCTGCGGCGGCAGAGGCCGCCAGGTTAAAATTAATGAATATGCATTTACACGTACACGTATGTATGTGTGTATATACAAATACATCCTAATTTATATCGCCTGTTGAAAATCCAATTACTTGCAAACAAACTATCCTAAACTCAATCTGAGCTAACGTGTGCATAATCATTATAAATCTTTGATAAACTGTATACATAGTACACACTTAAATGCATTTCCCTCCCTTGCAATCTTGGAGAAATATAAAAAGTTGCCGAGAACGGGTCGAGCAAACACTTACGTAGCTAGGCCATAAAATACCCTTTCCCTTTACCCGTGGTAGCAGCTATACGATGTAGCCGGCCGATTGGTGCAGGTAACACTTAAAAAAAACGTACTCGTATATTACGAGTTCTTGGAACTTATGACCTTGTTAGTAAAGCTGGGATTTCATAAAGCAATGCCTTTTTTAAATCAATACAAATTTAGGAATAATATCTAGGTGTAATGTCTTTTTGATTCCATCGAGTGTTACCTTGTTTGACAAATTTAATAATTCTTTTTTTTTAATAGTGTAACGTTTTTAAAAATATGTATTAACATTTTGGGGCACTTTGTTGGGTTTACTTTGGCAGTTAAATACGCATTGTATTTCAGATTTTCAAACCTATTAATAAATTGGAAAAATATTTCAAACTAATCATTCAAATCTAAATGAATATCTATTTTGAGGGTATTTGATATTTTTACGTCTTACACACTCAACCACTTCGGCAGTTAAATACGCATTGTATTTCAAATTTTCAAACGTATCAATAAATTGGAAAAATATTTCAAACTAATCATTCAAATCTAAATGAATATCTATTTTGAGGGTATTTGATATTTTTACGTCTTACACACTCAACCACTTTGGCAATGTGACCTCCTCTAATCTAGTTACAGGTGAGGGGTGAAAAAAAATGAAACAAAAAACATGCAAGTTTCAGGAAATGCACACACAAGCCAACCTACATACATACATAGTATGTATTACATACACACATACCTACAAGATTGGACGGGTTGGGTTGGGTTGGCGCACTATTAGAACAGTTTAGAAATGGGGGTCGGTCGGTTGTGGGCTGGTTGGGAGCGTTTGTTCGGGTTCTCTGCGTGTGTGTTGTTGTTAGTTAGGTCATGGGTGCGTTTCAAAGTTGCAAACTTTGTGTGGCTCAGTTTTTTGTTTTTTGTTTTCCGTTTTCTGTTTTCTGTTTTCGTTCTCTGTTTAGTAGCCAGCCCGCGGCCGACCTCTTATCTTGGCCACTTGACAGCGCGGAAAAAGCGACATGTATGCAAATATATGATTTAACTCACACACACACACACACACACACACTCACATGCACCAAACACTTGTGCTTATGTACATATGTATGTAAGTCGTGTGCACACGCTTCTGATTTTTAATTATTAAACAAGTTGTTGTATCACAAACAGCAAAGTGAAAACAAATTTTTATCACTGCCAAGTCGCCCTGCCGCCCTCCCGTCTACTGCCTTTGCTGAGCAGAGCAGTTCTTGTATCTCCAGCCCCCACCTCTCATACATATGTACTTATCCAGCGTTGGCTGCTGCACATATATATATATACATAGTATACACTATGTACACACCAACACATACATAAATACTTGCATGTATGAATATTTCGATCTGTTTGCTTTCTGCCCGCATATTTTTTCGTTTACACGATCGTTTCCTACAATAACAACAACAGTAAAAGCTTCGAAGCATGTTTTCGGCATTCTTGTTGTACCTGGGAAAGCGAGAACGTCTGAATCAATAGACCAGTCCTATAGAACAAGGCACACACCCACACTCCGTCCGGCGACGAACAGCAGGCAGCACCTTAACCCATTGGAAGCCTTTGTGCCTTCTCCAAGCTATTTTGTTAAATACATAGAATGTACAGAGTGTGATTCAAAAATAATCGAACTTTTTAGCTATAAAATAAAAAATGTACATTTTAAAGCTAATATTTATTCCAAACTCAATAAAACATTTTGACCGATCAAACATTTTCCAATTTAGATATTTTTTAGCGATTGTGTTACGGCTGATTGGCTGGCTAGAACGTCATCGTAAACGTATTTAAAGAGCCAAAATGTGGAGCTAATCATCGGATTTGAATATCAACCAATATGTTTGGGATGATAGATTCATCATTTATATGGATTGGAACAACAATTTTGTTTTCGTTATTCATATCTTCAAACCAGATGTAGATAGTATGGGACAGAAGTACGATAAAAAAAAAAAAATGAAATACCCCAACTTTTGATTAAACATTTTTTGTTCGTACTTAAGACTTTAGCATTAAATCTTTCTTTTGGTCAAATTACAACAATTAAATAAACTTCAATAGACTACTACTTAATTTACTTGCTTGCATGCTAATTCCATGACTAACACTACAAATTAGCTGTCAGAAATTATCGCAGGCAAATCACGACTCATAAGTACTTGTAGAAGACAAAAGCTTAACATTCAAGCTTTATCACCTAATGATTTAGTTTTATTCCCGTCCGTCAAAAAGTAATTGCGGGTTCAACGTTTTTACAAAGCCTGTATATAAATTTGTTTAATCTTCATAGTTAATATAATTGTAAAAAACAAAAAACGCTCACAAAACAATCAACTTATAAGCCATAAACCCTTTTTTTTTATATACAAAGCTGTGCTCAAATCATACAAGCATCTACACTGCTAGAAAAATGGCCGCCTAAAATGCAAAATGTAAACATTCTGTAGAGTGCTGAAATCAACTAGGCCAATCAAAATTAAACGCAATACTAGCAAAGAAATTATCTTACTTAAATCAAGCCCGACGGATTAATTTAAGAACTTCTATCTTAAGTACACGAGAGTGGAAAAAAATACAAGTGGTTTTTTAATAGATATGAACTGCGAGTATATGGATCTAATTAATTACTGATAACTGAAAAAAATACTTAACATCAATGGATTAAAACATGTCTTTAAAAGCGATTTGTGTACACATTAATGTTCTTCAGATATTTTTCAAATTGTATTAACATATTGTAACATTTCGGTCGTTTCTATGATTATTTTCTTCAATAATTATTTCAACTACATTAGCACTGGTAGTTAACGTGGAAGTGATGGGTTAAAGAAGCGTGGGCCACAAATATGGCAAATTAAATAAACATTTAACACCACAACACCATCCCCCCTGCCCCCACAATCTCTTTTTTCTTTCAGATTTTTTCATTGAATTTCAACATTGAATGGTGGCGGGCAATTTCATGTGTAGCCTCCTGGTAATTAAAAACCCATTTGAGTCGCTACAGCAATGGTAACAGGGGAAACAGTACGCATGGTTGCATTTTGGGGCGGCAGGCAGCAGTTGCAGAGATGACAAAAAGCTGGCTGCTGCTGTCACTCGACAGCGAACACAACAATGGCAACTCATTCAGTGTAATACCCAAGCGTGCAATTTTTATGGCCAAGTAATTACATCAGCTCTTGTTATGTGCACATACATACATATGTATATGTATATGTATATACTATATCTCATGTGTATCATTTGCAGCAACTGAAAACCAAAGCACACACACACTCACACACCCACACATGTACATGTACATACATGCTAATTCAATTGCGCCAAAAGTCAGTCAAAATGAAATAAAAACTGGCACTGGCATCAAGAACATACTACTATACAGAGAGTCGACAGCTGCTCCGGTCCAGGTCCAGTTCCAGTTGGCTGAGCCAAATTAGCATAAATCAGTAGCGGTGGGAGCCGTAGACG